ACAAGACGGTAAACTGGCCGGGTCAGACTTTCACTCAAGAAACTAATTTCAACGAGAAATTAAATGAGTAAACGTAAACATTAACAGTAAGTCACAAACAACATCCACTGCAGCTCCGAAAAAAGATGAATTCAAATATACAATCGCACTGCCGTACGTTCCAGACATTGACGTTGTTAAGCGAAGATTAGAGCGGTTAAATATTTTGTTTGTTTTTCACATATCCAAACAAATGAAAATCCTATTCAACTCATGCATTAGAACTCAATCAAAATCTATAATATATGAAATTAACTGCGAGTGTGAAAGTTCATACGTTGGTGAAACTAAAATCGGCCTTGGAAAACGAATGAAACAGTATGGCAAATTGCTTGAGAAAAACGATCCTAAAAATGTTTAAACACGTGCATGAAAAGAACTATCAATGTATGTTCCATCCAGAAGCGGCTCACATATTGGATAAAGACACCAAATGGAGAAGAAGGACAAACGAGACTATTTACTCGATCGTTCAAATTCTATTACTCTTTTTTCTCCTTCGTCTTTTTAATGAAATGAAGTAGGCTATAGGTACTCGACCATGTTGATTCCGAATATGCTAGCCGTCTTTGTCCATAGGTCTTTCCTAGCCTGTTTTTTCATATTAAAACCAGTTATCCAGACACCGCGAAAAATCCCCAACCCCTTTTCTAAATAACTTACGATTGTAGCCTGTGAAATTCTGATTAAAACAAGACATCTCCCAGCTCTGCACAACTTTTTTTTGAAAAGTTATGGTCACAAGAAGAGCCCTAAATTCATTTTTCCTTTTCTTTGTGTACCTAACAATGATCGTTTAGGACTTTTCTTGTAAATTCCATAACTTTTCAAAAAAAAAGTCGTATGTCAACGGAAATGATCGCCGCTGAGTTAAAAATTCGCTTAAACTCATTGTTATCATCCACTGAAATTTATAATTATTTCTTATCAACGCCAGAGCTGCTTAAACTTATTCATTCTAAATCAAAATATACAGTCTTGACTATATGTTTGATTAGAATGAACGAGTTTTTGACTCCGTCGTATACTTTGTGTCGACGTTAAATAAGGTCGACACTTATGTGTAATACAGTCAGTAACATGTGAGCGATTACATGTAAAGACGTCTCGATAAATCCACGAATGTATGGTGAAGCCATCAGAATGTAACCTAAACCACTTCGTGGTGTTTACTTTGGTGTTAAATACTGTTAAGAAAAGTAGACGGGATCTCATTTGTTCTTTCCTGATTGTCGTTTAGTGGCCATCTTGAATTATATATTTACTTCGTAAGAAACGTCTTTCGTTTGTTCCAAAAAAGAGAGCCACCGTTTTTATTTATACTCTTTGATTATACTATTATTAATTCTGGTTCTTTTTTGTTATATGAGTACCGAACATACATAGAGAACAATTTTTCTGTTCATCGAACAAAGTAAGAAAAAGATAAAATTATCGAATATTCAATCGAAGATCCACCTGTATCAGATCACTGTTGTTTTTGAATCGCCCAGTGTGACCTCGCCCGCTTGTTTATAAATTTGACGTTGTTTATTCAATTTCATCACAGTTGACATTGTAATAAATGAGGATGTTGCTCCCTTATCTATCATGGCACGAATTTTTCTGTTGTCGATTAGAGTTGGAACAAAGATCAATGATAATGGTTGGATATGGTAGGAGACAGTACCACCATGTACTCCCATTAGAAGTTTTTTAACCAACAATCATGTGCAAAATGACCCGTCCTGTTGCACTGATAACATCGTGGGAGTGGCGGTAATCGTTGTTGTTGTGTTCGCTGATAACGATAATAATTTGTATTTCCCCCTGGATATTGTTGTTGTGCTTTTGGATAATCACTTGGACAATACTGATGCGGAAACATTTGTTGATGTTGTGGATAAATTTGTGTTGATGTAATGGTGGATATTGCTGCCGATATTTGATTGTTGTTAGTATAAACATCATTTATAGCATAAGCTTGATCCAAACATTCTTCTTTTTGCGCCACTTTAATAAATTCTAGTGGATTTTTTGGTTCTTGTCTTGTAACATCTTTTCGTAATGATATTTTTAAACCCTGCATTAACTAATTTAATTTTGTTTCATCTGTCATTCCCGAATCAATTGTTTGACATAAATCCATTATATCATTATAATAATGTATAAGTGCTTCTTCGACACCTTGTTGACGGTTTCGAAGTTGCTTTGCTGCTTGTTCTTTAACTAACGGTGACGAACATGTTTTTTGTACGTCATCATTAAATTTGCTCCAGGTATTCATATCGTCCATATTGTGAGTATACCACGTTAATGCATCATCACGTAAGAACGTGGATATACTTTTATTTTTCTCTGTATCACTAAAACCAGCTAATTTAAATGCATTTGTAACGTCTTTCAACCATTTCGTAACATTAACATTATTTTTTCCAGAAAATGTTGGTGTGTGCTCTAATCTTTTTGTAGTTAGTGCTGCTATAATTTTATCTGTCATATCGAAGTCTTTTGGACGATAAACCCTGTGTTGTATATATTGATAATTGTTCGTTTGATCTAATTTAATACCACCCAGTCGACTTGTTTCTTGTTTGAATCTTTGTATTTGTCTCTTCTCTTCTAAGGTTCGTTGATAGACAACCCAATTTGTTGCAGCCTGCTGATCGGTGGTACCTCTTGTGTTCACCAGTTTGTTGAGCGTTACCTAATTGTATATCACCACCAGAAAGCTCAATCCCTTTCACTCGGGAATCCCTGCCAATGGCAATCTTCCGCTAGACAGTACGCCGAGACTCACGAAGAGAACTTTCTTAAATTTTTCTTGTTATTGTGCTCTTGGATTGACAATAACACCGGCTAGTGCACCACTGTTAGGGTTCGTTCTTTCTTTTTATGTATAAGACCATTGTTTATTAACAAACAAAAAAGTTATCCTTTAACAATAAAACTCGATCTATTTATACGCGCAATAATCTTGACTATACTCTACGCAATAACGTTGAATATTCTTGCACCATAGCCTTGAATATTCTTGTGCAATAACCTTGACCACAGTCTTGCACCATGAGCTTGAATATATTCTTGCGCAATAACTTAGACTGCATGCTTGCACAATAACCTTGAGTATGATCTTCTGCCTTATGGCACGACTCTAGTACGTGACATAACAGCCAGCTTTCTTAAACGTGGTTTAGAGAACAATGACTCAATAAGAATCATAGCATTACAAAAAATTTTCATTCTAAACGATTTGTAGCACATGAGTCTGTATTTGTCAGATGTGCTCAGTGGCTAGAAAACAGTATCGAATATTCGCTACCTGACTTAGACGAGGATGATCTTGAACTACTTGAATTTTGTCCTGAATCTTTTCTATAGTTCAATTGTCAGATATTTGTAGCGTGTTTCTTTTCTATAAGGATTCTTTTTCTTTTTATATTGTGTATTCTATTTTTAAAATGTATTAATTAATTTACAGAAGTTTTCATGGTCCTTATTGTATTTTGCCTTAATAGGCCCACAAAGGGGAGTAGTAAAGTATATAATTATTAATACAAATCTCATGGCTGTTGATATTCTAGTTAATAATGTGTCTAGACAAAAGAAGTTCTTTTGTGAAGCACATTATCCGTTACGTGCGGCCTCTGCGTAACATCTCAATTAGAAAGTTCGAAAGAGGACGGTTAATAGTGAAAATTCTTTTCTAGCTGTTTTCCCCTTTGATCTGCAACAAACCGTACTCTTTTATCTTTAAGATTAAATAATGCAGTGCAAATATTCTATGGTTTTTTCTAATCCAGTACTTTGTTTTACGTGTAATCATTGTTGTGGAAGTTTTTCTGCGTTTCTGTTTTTCTGAGTTTCTGCTACATTGAGATCATTAGTTATTGCTCTACACTTTATGTGAGCTGCCAATAATGCAAAATAGAGCCGAATGTTTTTCAGTTTTGCGCAAAACTGGGTAAAGCTCATCGAGTTGAGTAAGAAAAAGTGCTTTTAATTTTCCAGAAAATCGTTTAGTTTCAAGAAAGCTCAATTTGTTTTCTTTCTCGGCAGTTTTTCAGATATATTTTAATCAATGCACTGCTCACAGCTCAGCTACGAACTAATTTATTTAGTTCAGAGAAACAAGAGTAATTTAATGAATAATATTTTCTTCTTTCTCTTTTTGAATAAGCTCTAATTCAAGGTCTCTCTCTCCTCTATTCTGCTTAATATTGGCACCTCCCAGGCGAAGAATATTAAAATATGATCTTGTACGTTCATACAAGATCTTGTAAGATCATATTATAAGATACCACAAGATTTCACAAGATCTTACAAGATTCCACAAGAATCTTATAAGATTTCACAAGATTTTTCTTACAGCAAGATCTTGTGATAAGATCTTTATGACCTTGCAAGATCTGGCGATAAGATCGTGCAAGAAGTGACAAGATCTTGAAAGATTTCATAAGATTTCACAAGATTTTTCTTACAGCAAGATCTTGTGATAAGATCTTTATGACCTTGCAAGATCTGGCGATAAGATCGTGCAAGAAGTGACAAGATCTTGAAAGATTTCATAAGATCATATAAGACCATGTCTCTGATTCTGTACTATAGCTCCTCTACAGACCCTCTTTAAAACACAGCTGTTTTCTTTTCCATAATATTTTCGAGCATAGGAAGGACCCTGACCTGACGTCCTTAGTAACGTGTCTAATCACGTTTCTTATAGCCATGCACTTTATTTGTGCTCAGCTGATGTGTACAGTTGGAGAAAGAAAAGATTCTAAGTTCCATGATAAGAACTATGTTTTATATATACTATATATCGTTGCAAAATTTATGTGGTAAGAATGACTCATCGCTTCTTGTAAGATCTTGTAACAAGAAATCGTATGATCTTGTGATAAGAACTGACAAGATCTTGCAAGATCATATAACTTCTTATTACAACACCTTAAGATTTCTTATAAGCTGATCTTGTAAGATCTTACAACAAGAAGTTTTCCGCAAGATCATACATGATCTTGGGATAAGATCTTACAAGTTCTTGCGAAAAGATCTTGCAGCAAGATTGCATAAGAAATCGTCAGATCTTATATCTTGTAAGACGTCTTTCCCTTGGGCTTACGTAAAATGTACACACTACAATCTTCAATTAATTTCTACTTTATGGTAAATCGCTGAAGAATTTCTAGTTTATAGAAATCCCCACGACCTCTCCCACCTTATAAAAATCGTTGAATTTCTATTTACTAGACAATGTTCTTGAATTTCTATAAACTGGCACATCGCTCAACAATTTCTAAGCGGAAATTCCTTCTCGAATTTCTGCTTTACAGAAAATAAAATAAATCTCCGCATTCTTGGGAATTATATACAGATATTCGATCGATTTTCTAGAAACTGAAACTTCGCCCAGTAATTTCTAGGTCAACGTATTCACTTTATAAGAGCGTCACATAAAGACACTGATATCACATTTAAATCAGCTTTGACCGTTTCCACTTTAAATCACAATTCTGCCTATGTCAACAAGAATTTGATGTTAGGCGGAGACAGTGTGCCGGCACGAAATGGTAGATTCGGAAGGAATGTTCCAAAATCGGAGACGTCCACAAGAAACTTCTCAAAAGTATGAGGGAACGACATGAACCCGAATACAACCTCGTTGTGCAGCCAATCGGTGCCCAAATGCAAAAAGGGATTTCTAGTTTCTTGGAAATTATTTAGAGAAATTCAACAGCGAATCTCCAAGAATTCGAAGAGGAATTTCCAAAAATAATTCACATGAAAACTGGAAATTCGAGGAGGAATTTCTAGATAAAATTTCGCATTTCGATAAACCAGAAAGTGCTCGAGGAATTTATATTTGGATTCTTTGAAATTCGCTCGAGCATTTTCTATAGGAAGTGGCAACCCAAGTAGAAGCTACACGGCAGTAAACTACAGTTTACGTCAAAATACGACGAAAGGAATCGGGTCGAAGTATTACGACTGTCGTAAACTGTGATATATGATGAAATACGACAAAATACCATGACAGATACTGAAATAGATACTGGAAGTTTATATTTGGATTCATTGAAATTCGAGCGAGCATTTTCTATAGAAAGTGGCAATACAACTACCTTTAATTTATGTTTAGACAGTGATTTCAGCTTCTCATGACGCCTTATATTTATTTCGTAGCCCGATACAAAAATCTATGAATCCAGAGAGGGCAAGAAAAACTTGTTAATGCACTTAGAGCATGGTGCATAAGTGAGCTACAACCCCTGCTTCTCTGCTTCTTTGTTTTCTGTGTGTCCTTTCAACCAATAAATGCGCTTCTCCTACTTTCTCTTTGTCCTTTGTCTAACACTGTATATATATGTATTGCATCTCTCCGACTTCTCTGCCTACAATTTACTTTAGAATGGAATCACAAATACAACATCTCAACGCTCTTAAACATGAGCCAAATGAAACCATTAATGCGTGTTACGAGAGCGCATTAAAGGAATTCCCACGAAGGTATGTGTAATTATTTCATTTCCTTCTCTTACATGTTATTCTAATGATTGCCTCCGTTTGTTCTAGTTACAAACTTTGGTTTTCGTATTTACAATTACGTCAAGACCATGTTCGGACAAAATCTATAATGCATTCGGAATTTGAAAATGTCAATAAAGTATACGAACGAGCACTAGTTTACATGTATAAAGTAAGTTGCAACATTGCTTTACAATATCACCGCATCAGATGCAATTAGTTTTCTTATCACATCAGCTAGTAACACTGTTCACTATTATTAATATTCTCACTTTTTTTCTTCTATTCAGATGCCACGAATATGGTTAAATTATTGTGAGTTTTTGATGGACCAATGTAAAATAACGCGAACACGAAAAGTATTTGACCGTTCATTACGGGCATTACCAATAACACAACATAAGAGAATATGGCCATTGTATATTAAATTTGTTACACAACATCATATACCCGATACAGCAATGAAAGTATATAAAAGATATTTAAAAGTAAGTGACTCACTCTTCGTATGAGTAATAAAAGGTTCTCATACTTTTCGATCATACTACAAGTGCATCATGTCTTGGCGTGTCGGTTCGTCTTCAACTAAAATATTTTGTAGGTTAAGAGCAATTAAACAGCTATCGTGTTATATCAACGTCCCTTTTGTTAAATGATAGTATGAGCAAACTTTTGATCATATATTAAAAATGTATCAATTTGTTTAGTTGTTACCAGAAATTGCAGAAGATTATATGGAATATTTAAAAGAAACTGATCGCCTTGATGAATGTGCTCAATTGTATATTGAAGTACTAAACCGCGATAATTTTGTATCGAAAGAAGGAAAATCAAATCATCAAGTAAGTTTTGATTGTTTCTTCTCGTTTATTCATTACAACGTGAATAATACATTTTTAGCTGTGGAATGAATTCTGTGAATTAATATTGAAAAATCCGTCAAAAATTAAATCAATTCAAGTTGAACCAATTATTCGTCAAGGAATTGAAAAATATAAAGATCAAGTTGGACAATTGTGGACATCATTAGCAAATTATTATATTCGAGCAGGCTGTTTCGAAAAAGTAGTTTTAATAGAGTGTTTAACACAAAAACTTGTGTTTATACTTTAACTCTTTTTCTCTAGGCTCGCGATATATTCGAAGAGGCAGTTGATGCCGTTTTGACTGTGCGAGATTTTACACAAGTAAGTACTACTAAGAAATGTTAAATAACCGAATATGTTGTATGTTTATATTTAGGTATTCGATGCCTATGCACAAGCTGAAGAGGGTGCAATAATGGCGAAATTTAATGAAGAACAGTTGACAGAGGATGGTATGTCGAAATAGCTTTGGTTTATAAAACTATTTTTTGCCACTGAACGGTAGTAGTAACGGTTCTAAGTCTTCTGAAATTTTTTGAAATTCATCGGTCTGATCCACATAATCTTTGTCTCCTTTATGAACTGTACTTCTCTAAACAATGTTTATCATTGTTTTGCTTAGACGATCTTGAATTAGAAATTCGTTTGGCTCGGTTGGAGTATTTAATGGATCGTCGTCCATTATTATTGAATGGTGTCCTGTTAAGACAAAATCCACATAATGTCAATGAATGGTTAAAACGTGTAAAACTGTATGGTGAACAATATGATAAAGTAATTGAGACGTATACACGTGCTGTTCAAACAATTGATCCAAAAATATATACTGGAAAACTTCATGAGTTGTGGATATCACTTGCACAATTTTATGATAATAATGGTCAACTGCGTGAATCACGATATATTTATGATAAAGGAACAAAAGTCACTTATCGTCATGTTGATGATTTGGCATGTGTTTGGTGTGCATGGTGTGAAACCGAATTGAAACACGAAAACTACGAAGAAGCTATTCGACTTATAGAACGTGCCACAGTATTACCACGACATAAAGTTGATTATCATGATATGAATGAAACAGTGCAAATAAGATTACATAAAAATTTAAAATTATGGTTATTTTATGTTGATCTAGAAGAATGTTATGGTACATTTCGCACAGTTAAAGACGTGTATGATCGTATTATCCATTTAGAAATAGCCACACCACAAATAATTATTAATTTTGCTGCTTATTTGGAAGAAAATAAATATTATGAAGATGCATTTCGAACATATGAGAAAGGCATTGCTCTGTTTAAATGGCCAAATGTTTATGATATATGGTTAACATATTTGTGTAAATTTGTTCAACGTTATTCAGATGGTTCAAAGTTGGAACGTGCCAGAGATTTATTTGAACAATGTCTCGAACATTGTCAACCAAAATATGCCAAAAATTTATATTTATTATATGCTAAATTGGAAGAAAAACATGGACTAGATCGACGAGCATTAAAAATATACGAAAGAGCAACAGAAGCTGTTGAACCAAAAGAAAAATACGAGAGGTACGTCTAGTGATAAAGTAAAACACATTGCTTTTTGTGAGATGAATCTCTATAAATAGGAGGCCGTACCCTTAACGGCGGGTGTCCACCAACTCGTTTTTTTCACCAGTTTTGAACTTAATTAATTAATAACTGTGTCAATACTTGACCAACGAGGCTTTTATCGCACAGGCATACCACCGAAGGTCTACTCTACAAACTGGCCAAGTTTGAGGGCATGTTTGGGGGAGCACACACGCCCTTAAGTAGTTGATCGTCTTATAGTTTTGAACACTTTCTGATGATTGCATTTGCTCAACAAAAGACGTGTTAAGTACTATTCTGTCTTTGCTTCTAGATGTTGAATATTTACATAAAACGATGTGGTGACATGCATGGTATAACACAAACACGAGAAATATACGAAAAAGCAATTGAATCATTAACTGATGAGTCATTGATGCGTGATATGTCTTTAAGATGTGCTGAATTAGAACGAAAATTGGGTGAAATAGATCGTGCACGAGCTCTTTATTCACATTGTTCACAAATGTGTGATCCAACAGTAAGTTTTTCGCGTAATTTTAAAGCAGGAATGTCTATTGTTGTCATTTTAGGTGATACCTGAGTTTTGGCAAACATGGAAAGTATTTGAAGTGGAACACGGAAATGAAGATACGTTAAAAGAAATGTTAAGAATTAAACGTAGTGTACAAGCAAGGTACAATATACAAGTAAATTATATGGCACAACGAATCAGTTCATGCTGAAGCTTGTGGACCAGTTAGTACTGTGTACAAGAAATGTTTGTTGTTTGTTTTTTAAGTTAATACTTAATAAATCATAAATTATTGATGATTTTAATGTCTGAATAGAGTAAATATTGGTTTCAGAACCAAAACTAATCTGTATTATAAAGTAAGAATGAAAAAATAATAAAATGTTTAAATTTAAATATATCTATTGATGATTGTGTTCTATTAATAAGGACAACGTGTTATATGTATCAACACTTTCAGATCGGAACATTAATACTCTCACTCACTGCAACTGCCACGTACTTACTACGTAAATTAATTAATTTTTTGCTTCAGTTCTGCTGTAGAAAAAGTTAAAAAGCAGATTAAACCGCAAAAAGTTCGAATATAAAGTGATCTTCACACAGTGCCTTGTATAACAGACAAAACTTTTTCGTCTCGTCTGAAATTATAAGAAAAACGTCGATATCTACAATGTGTGTATATAAAAAAAAAGATGGCATCATCGATAGAAACAAAATAAGAAATAAGCAGGCTACTATATAACTGAAATATATTCGTCTTCTTTTCTATTTCTTTTATACACACGTTGTAGATATCGACGTTTTTCTTATCATTTCAGACGAGACGAAAGAGCAAGTCAAGTTTTCTTTTTGGTAGAATCTTCATAGAATAACTTAAAATAAGAACGATTAAGAATTGAATATTTTTTCTGTAAAAAGATTGTAAGATTCATTCGAGTTTTTCTCGAGCAGACTCAAACCCGGTATTTTTGCCCAGTTTATAGAGAATACTTTGAAATATGTATTCTAAAATTTTTCGGATTCTTATAGGTACGCCTCCCCCCGGATATCTTTAACACTCGAATTTATATATGAGAGAGAAATTCGAAAAAAATTCAAAAAATTCTTCAATGATTGACGGTTTGCATCCATAGAAGAAGAGAAAATGCTCTAAGAATTGAACGGCTGCCGGTCCTATTTTACTTTTCAACTAAGATAAAAAGCCAAGAAAATAGTAGGATACATATTTGGAAAACTATAGCTATCTACCGAATATATTTTTGAAAGTCTTCAGAGTCTCTCTAGAAAATCATGAAGAGAAGACTCAAATATGGCTCTGGCTATGAGCATGAGCAATTAAAAGTCGATTCACTGACTATTCGGCGAACCGTCAGATTTATCGTTTATTATTTAAAACATTTACGTCACATCCGGTCTGTTATATATCTAAACTCTTTTTATTCTGCAATACATTAAAAACAACAAATAACCTTCTAACATAAAAGAATAAAACAAAAAAAAAAATTTGCACTCATCGATACTGTGTTGTATCAGTTCATTCAGCCTTCTCTAGATCAAATAAATCAGATAACCGAGAAATGTGTCATGAAACTCAACATTAAAAGTCAATAGATTACCACTAGTGGCGTAACCACATGGGGAGCTCAGCTTCCCAAAAAGTTTTTCAGCTCCCCTAAAGCTTTTCTTAGCTTTATGAACAAAACAGCGTTTCTTTGAAAATTACAGTCCGATCATCTATGACTGTGTAGATTTCGAAGTAAGGCTAATCCTCCTGTGTTTAGCCGCTTATTATGCGATCATTCTTTCGAAGTCGCTCTGATCCGATTGCGTTAAATCTGCGATGTAGAGTCTAGAGGGAATCGTGTGTCGTTGGATGCCCTTGAAAACCAATAGAAAGTCCAATATGGGGGAAAAAATGTTTTTCATTAACTGTCGTTGAAGAATAGAAATGTTTCTTAAAACGTTTTCAGACTTTAAATCTTCTGAACGATTAGAGAACAGTATGAATAAGCGTACGTTTGATAGTTTTGTAATACGAGACAAAAAACAACGTGTTGAACCTGTTTCTCCACATGTAGCATTTTCATCGACTGAAACTTTGTGTGTGACTGAAACTCAGTCTTTGCTTCCGTCGTCTTCGTCTCTATTTGATCCTGTCGACTCGGAAAATACACCACCAACAACAAAATCTCTACTAAATGATATCAGTCGTTCATCTGACGATACTCTAGTCAACCTGTGCATTTGAAATATCCTAAAGACAATAATGAAAGATCCTTTCAATCAAAATGGTACTCAGAACGACCGGGGCTCGAGTACTCTCTGGAAAATGACAACTGTTATTGACAGGTGTTATTTATTATGTCTAGATCAGCTTCACCTTCCTCTGAAAATTTCACAGGAAGGTGAAGCTGATCTTGACTGAAAAAGGAGATCGCGTCTGCTTTTCGTCAGTCAATGATGTTGTTGATTCATCCAATGAGTATGATGATTTAATGGAATTTATATCTTCTGTACAAAAGTACTTTTCGAACTTACTCTCACACTGCTCTTACCCCACCATCCATCCTTATCACCTATCACATACGGATAAATAGCTTTGCAAGTGTGTCTGTTCTGAAAAAATATCTAAATTCGTATTATGAAAAATTCGTGAAACAGCATCCTGTTCGCACTAGAGTCGTTAAAAGCCACCACTATCAGCAGAAACTCATCAGTAAAAATGATGGTAGTTTTAATAATAGTGAAAATCGACAAGCTTAAGAAAATACTTTTTTCTATTTCTTTGTTGAAGCAACAAAATAGATTTTTTTTGAGCCTTCGTAGATAAATTCACAAAATTAAAATGATAGCTTACGCCTTAGCTGATAAAATTACCCATCGAATAAGATATACCATGTAATCTCCAGCTGTGTAGTTATTTCACACATACTTTTGGACCAAAAAGCTCGCTCTTGGTACTTTTCAAGAAAATCGAAAAATAAATTATTTTATTTCAAGCTATTATCGACTGATGTCGTCTAAATCATTAAAATATACAGTTCTGAGCAATATTTAAGTCACAAAAAAAATATAAGTGGAAGTTTTTTCTTATTTTAAAATCATCCTTCGTACCTGGTATAATTTTTTTATTTTTGCCGGCTTTCTCCTAAGTACAGTGGAAAAAATACGTGGCTAAAATCTGTTTTTTCTCGATTTCGCAATTGTACCTTGAGCTTTTTCATCTCTTATTATTATCATACAAAATCTCTAAGAACATATTCTGCCCAATTGAGGATGTTTCTGCAAAACTAGAAATCCTTTTTGTACTAATTATTAAGCAGAAAGTGTACGAGAAAACTCACTAGGTTTCCTAGAAAACCGAGTTTTTCAGAACTCTCTGTCTCAAGATTCCGAGATCTGGCATAATTTTTCTTCATTCAAATATATAGAACTCGACGTGTTCTTTCATTTCATATCGACTTAAAGGTTCTACGTTAGGGAATGTGGTCATCAGACGTTCTACGAGTTAGGCCAAATCCGCCGAAAAAATGATGCAAATGCATTTTCCCGCTGCGAGAGTCGAATGGTTATAACAAGGCTAGAAACTTGCGGTTTCCACCATTTGATTCAACTTGCTGAGCTCTATAATATGAGGTAGACCTCGCCACTGACGTCAAAGATCGGTGTAGATGGTGGTGGGTTTTATATGGATTTACCCTATCGTAGATGCCGAGTTTTTCACCTCTGATCGAACTTGGTGCTACAACATCTCTACTCTACAACATCGAGTTATTGAAATTTCAAGTTTTTCGAAAGTTTTCAATTTTCTCATTTTGTGACCATGTTCTATATTTTTCAATGAACAAGAGTTAAGTTTATTATAGATATAGAACAATGATTTTGTATAGAATTTGAGAGGAAGTTTATTGGTGAAAACCGTTTGCCGATATTTACTTTAGTTGTGGACATTTATGACATTTTTGATCGAAATCACTCCTCACTGGAGACTATATGAGAAAAACATGATTTTTCATCTAAGCACAGGCAGTTTTAGAGAACCGATAACAGGTTCGGATGTGCCTAACAATCCTCTATCTAACCATAATATAATAATTTGGTTTTAAGGGAGGGGGCGGGAGAGAGAGGCAGATTTGCGGTGTTATTCGGCGAGGTCCTTGAATTCCTGATAATAGATGTTAAATGGTAACAAAAGTTAAATTTCATGGTAATGGTGATATATCATAGATATAACCGGTCAAGATTGTCTTGACCGGGTCGGTAACCGGGCGAAAATTTCAGAGAACCGAACTGGTTTTCCACAGATCTCCCGAAGAAGCGATCTTCGATATTTTTCCGAACTCGTTTTTGCTTATGAAAACATAGCCTCAGATATTGGCTAGCGAATGATGGAAACCGCAAGTCTCTATCTTTTATTCCTCATGAGTTATTCAAAAAATAACGACCGATCTTGTATTTTAGCGCCGTGCAACAAACAGTAAAAAAAAGAAAGAAAAACGAATGGAATATTCACATAGTAGAGATTTCCAGTTCTGCTCTCGAAGACTGTTGACAAAGAAGAGAAAACCAAACTAACTTTCTTAATCTGAAATATGAAAGCTTTGTTCTACTTAGCTCAACAAAGTCGTTTTCGACAAAGTATTGATTTTTCAGACAAAAAAACATTTTTTTTCTCTCCACCACCCGCCGATCAGAAATTTCTGACCGGAGCAGCTCCATATAACTATAATCATTTAAATTTAATGCATCAATGATTGCGATAGCACCATCATCCATAATTTGATTATGACATAAATCAAGTACCATTAATGTTGAATTTGTTTGAAATACTTCAGCTAAATATTAGGCTTAATTCTTTCCTATACTTTAAATTGGACTGTACATATTGATTTTATCTGTTGTCGTGCTGAATCGATAATTGGGTTAATGAAGATGCATAAATATATTCTTAAGAGACAAGTTTTAGATATTATTTATAAATCATTTGTTTTATTTATTTTTAACTATGGATCGATTTTATTCTCTTTAACTACTCAGAACAACATGGACAAGCTGGAGAGAGTACAATATCATGCTGCTCTGGTTACTTTAGGGGCTATGAGAGGATCTTCGACTGAGAAAGTTTTAGAAATTTTAGGTTGGATTAAGTTGGAGGATCATTTTCGTCTGTCTAGACTGAATATGTACAGTAAAATAGTTAGAAAAATTGCACCTGAATATTTACATTCTTATATTCAGCAGCATATACCTAACCAAAGATATTCACTTAGGAGTAATGATTTGAGGCAACTAGAATCAGTCGAAGACAGACGAAAATCATTCTTCTATATTGTTACACAAGAATGGAATTCTATTTCCTATCAATATCATCTATGTAAACCTAAAGTTATGTGTGAAAGAATGAAAACGGAAATTTTAAATAATCGAACACTATCACCTTTTAGAAAAGATTTGATATTTTTGAGTAGGAAGGCGGAAATACAGTACATGAGATTGAAAACCGGAAATGTGGCTCTAAATGCTAATCTATTTATGAGAAGATGTGTTGATTCTCCCTTGTGTGGTGTATGTCATGTAGAAGAGACGCTAATTCACTATTTTTTTGATTGTAAGAGATATACTGTAGCCCGGACTAACATGCTGTTAGAACTGCACTTTTTGACTACGGTTAAGACTAAGATCTTGTTGCTGGAGGACAAGGAGAGGGAGATGGACGTACAAAAGCGATTTTTAATACCGTCGATAAATACATTCTCTTGACGTGGCGTTTCATCAGTTAAACTCTCGCTGATATTTTTGATGAAATGAATTGGTTAAAAGTTATTGCCTTAAGTGAATCCAATCCCCTTTTAACCCTCATTCCCCCACTCTTCTTCTACTAACCCCTTTTCTTTCTTTTTTTTTTAGCATTTTCGGTTGTGACCTCATGTTTATTCTTGTTACGACTTTCTTCTCTCTTTTAATATTTTCTTCTTTTGTTATGTCGTGTTCGTTAATCTCTACTGCGTCTACATGGCTTCGGCCGCTGATGCTGATTCTTTTTTTATTTTAATTTTCAAATAAAAGGTTTAAACTAATGTTGAATTTGTTTGAAATATTTCAGCTAAATATTTTGCACCCTTTATACGAATTTCACAGTATCCAATTAATAAATTTGTTAATATTTTATTTTTTTTAATGCATTTGCAACTAATTTTAGACCTTTATGATCAATTTTATTACAACCCATTTGGAGATATGTTAAAGTTTGATTATTAGTTAGTATAATCGCTATAAATTCCGCACCATCATTATTTATTTCAGTTTTCCATATATTAAGTGTAGTTAGATGTTGATTTGATGATAATGCATGACAAATATATTTTATTCCCAAATTACCAATTCCAAATTATCAACTTTCAATATCAAGAGAATTTAATATTTGTTGTCAATGTATCAGCAGCAATTTTTAGAATTCCCTGTTGTGATATTTGGTTAGAGCTAATATTTAAAATTTTTAAATATTTGCTGAATTTTAAAATGTATATTAAGGATTTAAGGAAATAAGAATTTAGGTGATGAAGGATATCAGAATTTAAGAATTTAAGAATTTAAGGACATAAGAATTCAACTAAGTAAGCATTTAAGGATTTTAGGAAACAAGAAGTGGAGAATTTGGGGGTATAAGAATTTAAGTGATAAAGAACATCAGAGTTTAGAATTTGTAAAAATAGGAATGTAGAATTTTAAGAAGATAAGAACTTAAGTGGTGGATACATCAGAATTTATGGAAATAAGAATTTAAGAGTTGAAGTAAGTAAGAGTTCAACTATTTAAGGAAACAGGAATTTAAGAATTTAATAAAAGAAAAATTTAAGAAACAAGTGATTAAGTTTGAGGAAATAAGAATTTTGTATTTTAGGGAAGTAAGAATTTAAGAATTTATGGGAATATGAACTTAAGAATTTAAGGAAAGAAGAATTTAGGAATCTGTGGAGATAAGAATTTAGGCGATGAGGGACATCAGAATTTAAGAATTTAACGACATAAGAATTTAACTAACGAGGGAAGTGCCGCAACTGATTCAACGCTTTTGACTCCATCTTTTAGCCATAAGTAGACCTTGATGAGACTAAGAAAACCCTAAAACGGTTCGTGTTCATGGCCCTAGGTTTCTGAGATCTGATCGACTTTTTGTCAAAAAAAGCGATTTTTTTTTTTACTTTTTCAAAATGCCGTTTCTCTGTTATTCTAATGATTTGAGCGATGAAATTTTTTTCTCGAAAACCCCTAATCATGATCTATACTCTCCTCAAGTTTCAAATCTTTAACTACTATAAATCATAAGATATCAAAGTTTCAATTAGTGGACAACTAAGCCTCCGATATCTTTTATGTACAAACATGAACAATGCAACTTTCAAACTACACATCATGTAAAAAAGTCAGTGTGAAAAAAATCGCTTTTTTTGACAAAAAGTCGATCATATCTCAGAAATGGAGGGCCATGGGCATTGCTGATTCATCTAATGAATATGATGATTTAATGGAATTTATTGGAGACGTACTATTAGGCAATATTTTCGCTGACCTTGGTGTACTTTTTTTAGGAACTGATGTGATTGGTATGGTAGTTTCTGTTGTAGTTGTGTGAATTGTTGAATCTGTTTGACTGCAATGAAAAAAGTATTATATTCTTTCTGAAAATGTTTCAAACTACTATCTGTCGTAATAAACAGGAAAATAAAAAATGCAATAGACGCATTTTTTTACTTTCCGGAACATATTCTATTCATTTATCTCAGATGTAAAGCGCATTATATTGATTCGAAAAAGGATCAGTGTAATCCTTCCTATGTTTGAGGTAAATGAATAGAACATGTTCGTGGAAGCCAAAATGTGTCCATTTCTTTTTTCCCTTTGTGACTTAATGCATCATTATTCTTTTATACACTGATATTTCAAGCACATGTATCAAATGTCATCTGCTTTAAGCTTAGATACTAGTGTGATCAAAAGTAGCTGACTTAGTAATATTTAAGTGTAAATCTTCAAGGATTTTGAAATAATTATTTGATTTTCAGTTTACAAGTTTAAAATAGTTTAATTTAACAGTTATAACTATCCAAAAAAAGTCATCGATATTTTTTGTCCATAGTTCTGATGGTATCACCAGAAGCGCGCTTTTGATGATCTCGCTAGTGTTTTTATACGATAAGCTTGAGTATATTATGGAACATTCCTAAAAATTCTAACAGCAGGTTATATTCAGGTGCATTGTCAATTGAAGCTGCGACAAATAAGTCTTCCGACACTTGAGTTCTAGGTAGTTAAGCCTCCCGACAGCCTCACGAAATCTGAGCCCCCGACATTTGAGCCTCACATAGAGAATAAGATGGTAAATTAGTCTACTCAAACAAATCATCATTAGCATCAAAAATTGAGCAAAGCTCTTACTCTTTTAAAGTATTGTTCTCTTGTTTTTAAATTAAAGTTGCAATGAGTTGTTGTAGTTATTCATCCATATACTCATATGCAGAGCGTTTTGTTATTTTTACAAGTGCAGCTTGCAATTTCTCAACCATAATCAGTGGGTCCTTCGATGTTGCTGTACATTCAATGATTTCGGATTTGAGTTTCATCGCTATCATTTCGTCTGGATTCGGTGCATGTTTGTGATCTGTAACTTTAATGTATTGTGGATTATCAAAAGTTACTCGATCGGCAAAATTGTTTCTAACATAACACCACGTAGATTGTGTTTTATTTGCGCGTCGAAAACGAAAACCGACAGAAAAAGATGATCCTTCTCTGTAGAAGATTTTACAATTGACATTATGTAAAAATAGTATATCACACAATGAAAAATGGACTTGAGGAATAAACGAACAAACTCACTTGTTCCTGTTGCTTATTGACTTGCCCGTTGAGACTAGCGAGTAGTTAGTGGGATAGATAGATGTTGCACTATATGTTTGTCCTCTTTCAGCGTATCGAATTAAGTAATATAATAATCATTTGCGCTTTTGGATGATATTCATTTGTGATAGGCACAAATGTCGGGGTTCAGATTTCATACGGCTCAATAATCGGAGGCTCAACTGTCCAGAACTCAAGTGTCGGGAGGATCAATTGTGAAGGTTCATCTGTCGGAGCTCATTTGTCGCAAGCTCAACTGCCGTATAACCATAGATTCCAAACTTTTGGACGCATAAACTTTTTTTGAATTTTTGAATCACTTTTACTTTTCAAAAATGCTATAAAATATTTGTCCATGTCATGCATTTTATACTCATTATGTTGCATAACATAATTTCAAATTAGATTGAATAAACTTTATTTTACCCTGAACGAAGTTGTGCTTGAACCATCGACGGCAATGTTAGCGGTGTTTGATTAGGAAAAGGCGGTTTAATGAGTTCATAATCAGGGGTTGTTTCACATAAATGAATAATATTTAAACCATCTCCAGATCGAAATTCATCAGTGACTTTAAAATAAAATCTCGGCATTAATAAAACTTCACTTTCTTCCTTGAAATACGAATGTGTTTGAATTGCTTTTCCTTGTTTACATTCAATATTGAACAGTGTTCGTAAACCTTTATCACCCAAGAAAGTTGGTGATCTCATTAAAGTCAATGAATCCGTACACGAACTTACATTCCACCAAGTATAACAGTGTTCTCTATGTATGTTCTGTACTCATATAACAAAACCAGAATTAATAATAGTATAATCAAAGAGTATAAAATAAAAACGGTGGCTCTCTTTTTAAAGTCAAAGAGCAGGACAGTTGGGAACATAATGTCTGATTACTCGATATTCTGACACACTGAAATTACTGTATATTCTGCCAACTTCCAAGATTAAAAAGCTTAAAAATTTGAAAGTACCCCTCTCCGTTTCCTACGTCAGTTTGAAGTACACAAGTTGTGCTCTATGGTGAGCTGTTTTGTAGAAAAGGGTACCGTCTACTTTTTGAGATACAGAGCTATCAATATCGCTGTCAATGCACCTTCTGTGTGCATATAGAGATAGATATAAAGCAAACGTGATCACTTATAATAGACAAATCTATTTGAGAAAAATTTTGTCTGAATTTTATATGATAACATAATCTAGTTATATTTATCTTATAGCTAGCTCATTTTCTTCTAATTAACAAACTACACTTAGTGTACATATTCTGTATATAAAAATTTGTAATCTGTATATTTTACATCATCGAATCTATTTGACGATCGACGAATCTATTTGAGAAAAATTAACAATATTATTAACAAAATTAACAAATTACACTTAGTGTACATATTCTGTATATAAAATTTTGTACACTGTAAAGGAGAAAATTATTTATAGAAAATGCTCGGCGAATTTCAAAGAATCCATATATAAATTCCTCGAGCATTTTCTAGTTTATAGAAAATCGCAATTTCCAGTTTATAGAAATTCCTTTTCGAATTTCCAGTTTTCATGTGAATTATTTATGAAAATTCCTCTTCGAATTTCCAGTTTCTTGGAAATTCACTGTCGAATTTCTATAAATAACTCCCAAGAATCTAGAAATTCGGGGAATTATTTATAGAAATTCGACAGTGAATTTCCAAGAAACTGGAACTTCGAAGAGGAATTTCCATTAATAATTCACATGAAAACTGGAAATTCGAGAAGGAATTTCTAGAGACTTTTTAAATAACTCCGAAAAATCTTTGCAATTGTCGTGATATCGATAGAAAGAAACCGCCACAGTCCTTGCTTTTCATTATTTGTATTTTAATAACACATTTATTGTCTCTACAGTAAAAAAAATGAACGAAAACACCACGCCTACTTTGCGAAAGAAACAGAAAATAATGAATTTTTATTTGTAAAAATAACAATAAAAAAAGAGAACCAATAAAAATGTTTTTTATGTAATTAAATCAATTAATTCATTGGAAGATACTAAATAGAGATAAAAGACGAAACGATTAGTGGCATAAGAGAGGATTTCATGTGCTTCTTTGATTCGTGGTACGTGCTCTCCGAACGTATAAGATAAAGGAATGACAGTCTTTCACAAAATGCGTTTACGAACATGAATTTTACAAACTAGAGTAGAGCTCATACCACCGCTATTTGCGGGCGTAGAGCACCTATTCTCTTAAAAGTTGGTTCAAAAATGGAGGGAAGCGCGATTCGAAGTTTTTCGTTAAACTAGCTCATTCTTTTTGTAAAAGCCCATCATCGTGGTACTTGTAAATTAGAAAACAATAAGCTACATATAAGAGTTGACAACTCTCGTCTTCATCAATATACTTTCGGAAATATTCTCTCCTGCTATAAAGTAGTGAAACTGTTTGCACTTACAAAAACAAGAAAACGCAACTTGACAGTTATGACAAGCGTCACGAGTGAAAGTTGATCACAACACTCAGCAAAGACAGAGCGCAGTTTCCTTCAACACAGAGGCAACTTCTAAACAAGAATCTGAAATTTAGGAGAAGTAAGCGCTAAGGATATGAAGCTTAACGCTCAGAGCATATTTTTCGCCCGAAAAAACAGCTTGACAGCAGTCAGTCTATAGTAACAAGAGATTCTACGCGTAAAACTTTGACCGAAATTACTTTTCAAGTGAACAATCTCGTCACACAGAACGACCTCTTCGCTCTTTCACTCGAGAGATTCCTTGCATGACCGTCGCAATGCCTGTGGGATTGTCTCTTTGTTGCACATCTCTTGTTTGTGATTGGTCCGTTCAAGCGGCATCAATCGTGGAAATTATTTATAGAAATTCGATTGATTTTCTAGAAAGTTGGAAATTCGAGGAGGAATTTCCAGTTTATAGAAATTCGAATTTATGGAAATTCAAGACGATTTTCTAGTAAGTAGAAATTCAACGATTTCTATAAAGTGCGAGAATCGGTGAGGAATTTATATAAACTAGAAATTCTTCAGCGATTTTCCAGTTGATTTTCCATAAACTAGAAATTAATTCAAGATTACAGAGATGTGTGGACAAGGTGTCTGAAGACGAACTGACGAATCGCAACTTTTAAGCGTAAAAGTGATGCAACAATTCGCGTTTTACCCTTATTTTGTGAATTCGTACCGAATTGATGCGAACTGTATCGAATTCGTACGGATACTCTTAAAAACTTTTACGAATTCTTCTTGCGAATTCGTAAACAGAGA